TTTTTGACTTCCTAAACACCTCCATAGATTGATGTGCCATTTTGCAATCTCTTCATTTACAATGAAAACACTTGCCATTTGTTTTCATAATTTTACAAATGTTATTGTCATATCATTTTACATCATTCTTGATAAGAATTATGTGTAAAATTTTTGTAAGCATTTCATTTTGTGATTCTTTATACTATTTTGCTTTGTCAAGAATTATATTTTTTGTTAAATTAAATAGATTAAAACTTTTTTTTATCGCATTTCATGTTAGTATTTTTTGATATTTTCACTATTCATTTTTGTTGCATCTATATTCATTTTTGTTTTTTAGTCTATTTTTCTGTCAACGTATGTCAACTTGTTTTCAATTGGTATTACTCTTACCATTTCACGAATGTATTGATTTTTAATTTTAATTTTCTTGCACTTCTATCCAACTCTTTTTATCTAAGCAATACTCATTTTATAGGCGTGCTATTGCCTGGTTTTTCAATTTTTAGTGAATCGCTAACTTTATAATTGTTTTATTATGAATTCAAAATTAACATGTAGAAATAAATATATAATACATATAAAAGATAAAATTTTATAAAATTTATTGATGGGTCTACTGTTAATTATTTACATATATATTGACCTGTTTGGCAAGTGTGGTTTTGGGTTTTTTTTTTTTTTTTTTTTTTTTTTTTTTTTTTTTTGGGGGGGGGTTAAAATTCATAAAAAGACAAAATAGACTAAAATAGACAATAGGTAAAACATCACCATCCCATTATAATTTTACTTTTTCCCTCACAAACATTACATTCAGCTGTAAAAAAATATAACTATTTTCCCAAATATAAAAAATTTAGCCTATTAAAATAGCCAAAAATTAAAATAGTCTATTAAAATAGCTAACTTCCCAAATAAGGCCATTGTGTATGTATGTATGTATGTATGTATTTTATTATTTATTTGTTTTTATTTTTTTTGGGGGGGATCATTATTGGGTGTTTTGAAAACTTGGCTAAAAGTTAAAATTGGCTTTTAACCTATTTTGAGTCACATGATCTCATTTATTTTTTTATACATTTTAAAAAAAAAATCAAAAATTATTAAAAAGTCAATTTTTACCCAATTTTTCAAAACAAACTTATTTATTATTGAACTTTCTTTTTTGACAAGTGTAGAGAACTTCATTTCATTCCATGGGCAATCATACAAAGGAGAAAACAGAAAATTTTTATAATCTGACACACATATAAAGATATAATCATTATGCACCAAACTTATTGTTTTCATATTCTTCTTTTACACACTAGATATTATGATCAATACGTTAGAAATAAAATGGATCACCCAAAAATTAGAGGGATTGAAAGAGGGAAGAGAAATTCTCAACTCTCAAATATTTCGATTCCACTTATTTAAAATATGGAAAATGTTTGAGAGTCACAATTTTTGTGGCCATAATGGCTCAAAACTGCCAAAACGACGTCGTTTGGGGTGCAAAACATGCCAAAACCATTGTGGCCACAAAAATTGTGGCCCTCTAGCATTGTTGTTAAAATATTTAGGTACATGAGTTATTTATAGTCTGTAATAAATAAGCCAAGAGACAAATACATCTTTTACATCCAATGTACCATAAATGAATCTTCTTAGATACATTCATCCTAGGAATACGCGAATCTCAAAAATACATGAACTTTGACAATATATGAATAAAATATAAATAGATACTTCTAGAAAATGTGTAAATTAATTGAATTAAAATCATGTTCATTATTTCAACACACCTTTAGACTTGAATTTACTAACTCCGAGCAAGGTCCGAAACTTGGTGAAGTCTTCATATTTGAATGACTTTGTGAATATGTCAGCAATTGTTCATGAGATTTCATAAACTTGAGTTGTACCTCCTTCTTCGCAATGCGTTCTCTAACAAAATGATATCTCGTATCAATGTGTTTACTTCGATCATGAAACACCAAGTTCTTGGCCAAGGCAATTGTTGACTGGTTATCAACCAAGATCTCCGTCGCTTCCTCTTGTGCAAATTGCAAATCCTTCATCAAATTCCTCAACCAAATTGCATGATAAGTGCATGATGTAGCAGCAACGTACTCAGTAGGGGTGTAAATTTGACCCGGCTCGGCCCATGTCGGGCCTTGCAAGCTCCTGTCAAAATTTGAGCCGAGCTAGACCGGACCCAAGCCAAGGCCCAGGGGTATTCGGGCCTTAGGCGAGCTGACCCGGTGGGCTTGGGCCTAGCCTCGAGCTTGGGCGGGCCTGACTATATTTTTTTATTTGTTAAAATTTTTTCTATCAAAAATTTATTATTTCCTACTAAAAAAGACACTGGGTCTTGGGCGGGTCGGGCCTTGAGTGGGCCTTAAACGAGTCGATGGGTTGGCCCACGGGTCGGGCCAGGCGGCCCGGGCCCACGGGTTTCAAAATGATGGCCCAGGCCTAGCCCGAGCCCAAACGGACTCACCCTGAACTGCGGACGGGTTTCGGGCCGCCCACGGGCCGCGGATCATTTTTACACTCATGGTACTCAGCTTCACAAGTAGAAAGTGCTATTATTGGTTCTATTTTTATTTTATTTTATTTGTTTTTAAACTTCTTTGTATGAAGTGAATTTTATTAATTTTTATTTTTTTTAAAAACTGTTTCAATTGTTAAAAATCCTTATTTTGAGTTATTTTTATTTAAATCCTAACGCGTTAGGATTTTTTATGGAAATTAATCATTAAGTTGCTTGAGATTAACTCACTAAATTGAGTAAATTTATAATTTTACTCTTAAGGATATGACACATGCAACTTATTTGTATATTTTTCATAAAAAAATACTAACAATTGTAATAAATTAAAACAAATGGATACAAAATCATAAATTTAAAATTAAAATTTAGAGACTACTGATATAATTTATTTTTTATTACTAAACTAGTGTTTGGGACCAATGGGAGGGAGCTGTGAGAAGGAGCCAAGGACTAGTATTCCAATTTCTACAACGGAATTTGTACTCCTCGAAGTCTTCTTGTTTTTTTTGATACAAGTCAAAGTCCACGTCACGTCGCATTTGAAAGAAGACTCATCACGGGTCATGCACTTCCTGTTTTTTTTTTTTTTTTTCGACGCCTGCAATTTACGTAAGTAGTTTCGAAAATCATGCAAAATGTTCAATTCACATCAATTCAACAAATTTTGAGCAGAGTTCGTGATCGTGGTTCCAAGAAAGTTAATTACACTTGGTAAAAATTAAATATAAAATTTAGAAAGAACGCACTTCTAAATCTCAAATTGCACCCATTAAATCAATTTCTCATAATTTAGTCATGCATTTTCTTTTACGCTCACACATTTCAATCATCATATTCCATACAGCTATCTTATCTAAGCTATAATAATAATAAAAGCAATGCTACATTTCCCAAATTTGGTGTTGCCTAAATTGTCTAAATTTGTTCATTTCGATCGTCTGGCAGATCGACCAATTGGTCATCCAGTCAATTGTCTAGATAATAGGGTGACGACCATGGAAGATGAGGGTGAAGCCGATCGTCCGAGCATCATCTGGGAGGTCATCAGGGTAGTCGTTTGATTGGTACAAATTCAAATGATTCGGGTGACAGCAAATTCGGCCAATAAATCATTTCACTAATAATAGAAGTCATAATTTAATCATAAAATTCAACACAAATTTTTGTACATGGAGGATATATTTAGCCTTCGGAAAAGAAGAGTTAATTTTGCTTGATTTTAAGACTTTTTGGTTAATTTAATCTGGCTAAATTAATTTCGTTTGGAATTTTTTTTGGCTTTTTTTGGTTTGGATGCAATAGTTGTGAAAGAAAAAATGAAATGATTATGGTTTGTGAAAAATCTAGAAATCCCCTAGATGTTGATTTGTGATTATGTATCAATTTTAAGCAGAGTATAACAATACCAATCAAACAATCAAACAATCAGACACAATGATTTAACGTGGAAAAAACCACAATTGGACACCTCCAACTGTGATCAAAAAACCACGGGCAACAGCCACAAGACAATCCACTAAGAAGAATTAAAGGAATTACACAGGTATACTCTCAATTCGAATAAAATTACAACTCAAAGGAGTTTTGTCAAACGGGATTGCCAAGAAAATAAAACCTAACAGTTTGAATATGACATTTTATCTCATTGATTAAATTAGCTTATTTTGTCTTTTTTATACATATTTAGTTATTTTAGCTCTTTTCAAACGAGGCCTTAGTGGACTTCTGTTTTCTATATATATATATATATTGATTAGTGACGTGAATAGAATTATAGTTCAACTTTTTACTTTCAATCAAAATTTATTTTTGATTTATCATTTCTTAATTTTTACCCAAAATTTTTTAACACTAGGTAATGAAAGAACCACGTTGAAGGTTTTTAACTTTCACGTAAATTTCTAATGATGGATTGAGAACAAATAGGGGATTAAAGTAATACTTAGGTAAATGTTCAAGGCTAAAAACAATAATTTACTCCAAAACATTTTATCAAACTTTCGGCAACTACTTTTTTATTTTTCTATTGACGAAAATCAGTAATTAATTATTAGATTAGTACATGAGAGAATCACGAGGTCATCATCAGTACACAAAGATCAATTTTACATTTAGAAGAATAATATAAAAACTAACAAATCATACAAACTATTCTTAATCATGAATTGCCCATCTCGTTCATATTATTTCATTGTATGTCACTTATGTGTATAATAAAAATTAGTATGATTTGTTACTTGGTGAATTTTGAATTAAATGGCTTTACTTGGAGGGGATAAAATTTATCACAAAGTTCAAATAAGAAGAATTAAAAAAAATATAAATGAAAATAAAATCATTTTTTTATTATAAATTTGAAGTCCTTTCGATTTTAATGTGAACAAAATATCATTTAGAGGAGACTTAGACTTGGTCAAGTCTTTTGGTCCCTACGGAATGCATGGCCTAATTCTATAAATTATGATTCACAATAACCAAGTGAGAATATAAGGCATACTCTCACTCAAGTAACCATTCTAGTAGTGTGCGTGTCTAGATTTCCTAAATTTATTTTATGTTATTTTGTATATGGCTCTTTTCAATCCACTTTCCGTGAACAACCATCTTCTATCCTTCGTTTTCTTTTTGTTTTCCTTGTGCTATTTGAAGGAGGCTCATGTTTATGGAGCAAGAGGAGTCGATAAGCCCTACCATGAGGTTCCTGTCAAGTCTCTTGAGCCAAATCCAAATTGCACTCAATCCACCACCAGTATACCTCTCTCCTCCTATAACTCTACTTACTTATTACATAAAGAAAATTGTAAAGATTAAATTTGTAGATATAACAATGGCATTTTTGAAATAATAAGTTATTTTGATGGATCTTTTGATCTAAAATGAATGTATCTGCTAAATCACTATGTATAGATTTTATTTATAATTTTTGTTGTTTCTATATTCTTCATTATTAGAAGAACCTGCATGAATTGGCTCGCTTCATTGGATGATTTCTCTTCACAATTGTCTTTTTCATTTTCCTTTCCTTTTTTTTCCTTTAAAGAAACTTGAAGAGTAGTTTCAGTTTGAAGTTTTGCTTTCCTTCACCTTAGAAAAATATAATGTGAACTGATTTCAGTACGAACATATATAGGTCTATGCATGATTGTTTTACAACATATACCTAAGAAGATGTTTAATATATAATCATAATTAGAGCTGAATGTGGTTGATGACAATCTGTTATTTCAGGTTCTACATTAAGATCAAAAAAGCTTCAAGTGACTTATAGATATGGACCCTGCTCACCAATAGGCCATGGGAGGAAAGGTCCAAATTTAGCAAAAATTTTCTCGCAGGATAAAAGCAGAGTCGACTCGATTAATGGGAAAACCTCTAATCTTTATCATACCCAAGACTCCAGACTTATGGTCCCTGTCCACAACTCCACCGGATCTAGCACGTACGTTGTCACCGTTGGATTTGGCACCCCAAAGCACAATTACACGCTCATCTTTGACACTGGCAGCGACACCACTTGGATGCAATGCAAACCATGCCCCAAACCCAATTGCTACAAACAAGACGAGCAAATGTTTGATCCATCTCAATCCACTAGTTATCACAATGGTTCATGCAAATCCAACCATGGCAGCACTTATGACGCGAAATATGGTGATGGATCATATTCCAAAGGATTTCTTGGTTGTGACACACTTACCCTTGACTCTGATGTGATCAGCAACTTTGTATTTGGTTGTGGCAGAGAAAACAGTGATGGATTCGGTGCCGCAGCTGGGATACTTGGCCTTGGACGAGGAGAGCTTTCATTGATATCACAAACGGCCTCGAAATTTGGGAAATCGTTTGGTTACTGTCTCCCAACCCCACAAAACCCCAACAGCGGATACTTATTGTTTGGGAAACATGCAAAATCTTCATCATCCTCTCTAAAATTCACGCCCCTACAAAATCCTGCAAAGTATCCTTCCTTCTATTTTGTCAAACTTGTTGATATAACTGTAGGGACAAAGAGGTTGAACATGTCTCCATTGCTGTCTTCCTCACCTGGAACTGTTGTAGATTCTGGCACTATCATCACTCGGTTGCCTCAACCCGTATATGTTGCACTGAGGTCTGCATTTCAAAAATCAATGTCAAAGTATCCGTTGGCTCCACGAGTGGAAATATTGGACACATGCTATGACTTGAGTCAGTATCAGAAAGTGACATACCCAAATATTTTGTTCCATTTTGAAGGAGGGACTGATGTGAGTTTGGATCAATCTGGAATTATGTCAGGAAACAAATCAAGTTTTTGCTTGGCATTTGCTGCAAAAGATATGACTAGCGACTTTACCATTATAGGGAGTACCCAACAACAAGCACTCAATGTTTTTTATGACCTTAAAGGAGGGAAGATAGGATTTGGGACAAAAGGTTGTCACAATTGAGAAGAGAGGGCATGGATATTGCCTTTTCATGCAATGTTTAGAAACTTTTTTGAGTGTTTTAAGTGCAAAAACTATGGTTTGAACCTTCTTAGCAATAACTTCAAGTTACATTTGTATCGAAATTTCAATTTTATGTATTGTGCCTATGGTTCTAGTGAACTTTTTAATGTATTTCAAGTTATAATGCTTGTATTTGTAGGTTATAAAATAAGGTTCTGGTTTTATTGGCATTGTTGTACCCAATTCTGGCTTATATGAGTGTCTCTGTGCATGTGTTTGAAGCATAGTAAGAATTTTAGTATATATACGAGTATTTATGTGTATGTCTGTGTAGAGTATAGTAAGAATTTTGGTATATATACGAGTGTTTATGTGTATTTGTGTGTAGAGTATAGTTGAACGTTTCATTTCTTTTAAAATACCAATCCAATGTTTCGGTATAGGTCTCTAAAGTAAAATTGGAGTTCTCATTAATCCACTTACATCTACTAAAGTTGTTACCAACTGATCCATTGAATTCTTTTAATCCTCCCCTTTAGCACCCCACCAAAATCTAACAATGGCTTCACATAAATGCTTCAAAAGGGACACTTACAACAAGACATAGCATGAACTGGCATAGACATCAACACAGATATACAGCCTGTTTGGATTGGGTGATTTGGAAAGAAAATAAAAGAAATGCATTTCTTTTGCTTAAAGAAATACCTGGCTTATTGTAGAGCTAAAAAGTGCCTCCTTTCCACCCATTTAGCTGTTTAATCAATCTTCCTATAGATCAAATTTCTTACATAATCCAAATAAATCTTTGATACAAACAAAATTCTCAACAAAAATTCTCATTCATAGCATCACATTAATCCACACAAATGGCTGCTTCCCATTCAAATTTCTCAGATAATCCACATAAATATTTAATTCAAAAAAATTCTCACAAAATCTCAATAAAAATGATGATTCACATCATCATGTCATGTTTACCACTCATTCAAATTTCTCACAAAATCCACATCATAATTGAATTTGCTCATAACATCCATATTATGCAATATGCAATAGAATGGGGTTTAGGTGAAAGGTGGATTAAGATTGTATGTATATATATATATATTTTGATCAGCAAAATAAGAAACTTTGTTGATAAAAGGTAAGTACAAAGTACATCATAAGTATCAATAAAGCAGTGAAGAGCAAAAAGAATCATAGCTAAACTAGATGATCCCAACTAGGTTGACACTGAGAAGAAAGCTCAATAATATGCTAGGTCCAACCTAGGAAGGTGAGGAACCAACCAAACAAAATACAAGAAAGGAAAAAAGAATAGCAGCCAAGCAGCAGTAAGCAAGTAACAATCCCTCTCAAAGGAAAAACCTCACATGATTGAGATTGAATAATGAGTCAGTCACTGAGTAATGGATGTCTTTTATTGAGGCTTTGATCCATGATGCAAGATTACATTATAATGGATTAAGATTACATTACAGTTTCTTTAGGGATAAAGATGAATTTCATATATAACGTCTTTGCCTTTCAAGTGTTCGACTGAATGAATGAAAGATAGTTAAAAGAAGGTTTGCAAGCAAGAATGCATTAGATCATAGTTACTGAAATGCACAATCATTTACTTCAAGTTGGTGGAAAACCAGATCTTGTAATTAGAAGCAATCAGATTTTTCTATTTCAAGCCTAACTGCTGAATTTCAAGTTGTTGTGCTACATCTAACACAATTTTACTCGCTTGCAATTGTTAATTTGGTGTCTAAAATTAGAAGAATAGTGTTGTGATTGAAATAAATAAATTAAGGAAAAGAAAAAAATAAATGGGCCGATTAATCAAAGGATATTAGATTATTTTTGTAATTTTCAAGTGGCTTAAACCTTGTGAAGTTTGAACATGTGAGATTATAGGATCTATATAGTAGAAATCAAAACACTATGAATATAATTAATTATTAAAATATAAACTTAGATATATACCGTTTGATTCCGTTATTGTCTTGAGTTTTGCTTCCTTGAAAGAATACCATCTAGTATGTATTCTATAACATGTGCTCATAAAGAATATCATCTTTAACAACACTGTAATTCTGAAGTACTTTAAAATTATCTATTTAACACCATCAGAGTTTTTGTTATTCTTCATAGAGAAAATGCAAACCATATATCGTAATACATCTTTATAGGTTTGGAGATGAAATTAACAATTCCAAGCTCTGAAATAAAATTCTTTAATTACATAACCCAAGTTGAACTCCAAAACATGTTTGCATAGTAAAAAATTATAAGAGATTTTATGAAACTCTTTCATGAAATAACACCTCATGCAACATAAAAAATGTAACTAGTAATAGACACTATATATCATCTAAACAACTTCCAAAGTCGACATTATACAACCAATAATATGAACATGATTAATTCTTCTATAGCCAATTGTATAATCTTTAATTCTCTATAAATATCATTGACACTTTATGTCTTTCAACCCAATGGTCAAGGCTCAAATTAAAATAATAATTGTCTAACAAACTAATTGCATATGCACCAAGTTTAATTCAAACTTCATAATTCATTAAACTCTCACAACACTAGCATACAAGACATTCCTCATGAACTTTTTTCTCAAAATCATTTTATGAATACTGAATGTTACTTAATTAATCTCGATCATTAAGAAGAGCAACGTAAAACTTTCAATTCTACATATTAAATTCAGTAAAAATGTGATCTAGGTATGCTCTTTGAGATGAGACAAATAATCCTCTAAGTTATTTTTCAAGTATCTCAATGCCAAACACATAAAATACTTTGTCAAGATATTTTACATCAAAAATTTATTAACAACAATATCTTCACATCAAGTATTAATTCGAAATTATTACTAATAAGTAAAATTCCATCGGTATAAAGGATCAAGAAAAATAAATTGCTCCTACTAACCTGGAGATATATGCATAAATTAATAGTATTATCCATAAAGCCAAGTAATAATATTTGGTGAACCTTTAAATATCATTACTCAGAAATTCGTATAAAACCATAGATAAATTTGTTTAACTTACAAATCAAATTTATTTTGTTTGGCGAAGCAAAAGATAAAAATGTCACAATACCACTATAATCATTATAAACATATCTTTATGACATTGGTAAGGACAATACCCTTTTTCAAATTACAGCCCATTGCAATAGCTTTGTTTTATTTATTTATCTTTAAAAAAATACTCATTAGATTTCAAACTTTTAAGAAGTATAACATGATCTCATATCTAATTAATAATTTGTAACAATTCATTTACCATATTACAAATCGTCAATATCTTCATCATACGTAACAATCATTTCTTCAATCTCTTGATATTGCTCATTTAGAAAAAAAATATAATCGCAAGGATCTTTTAATTGTATGAGAATGTCTAGAAGGTTGCACGTGTTATGCATGTTCAACTTTTATCAATAGACTGAATAGACACTTCAGATTCTACTTGCACTCTCACTTTCTCTATGTGAGAATGAACAGACTAATTTATTATAATAGACACAAGTATACAAGAAGATTTCTATATTTAAACTGTTCACCAATCTAATAATTTCACATTTTAAAAGTTTAAAAGATTCTTATGTCACACTACAAGAATTTACATAATTGCCGACCACTTTTGCCGACCAAAAAAATTTTGGTCGCAAAAAAATGACATTTGGCGACCAAATATTAATTAGTCGCGAATGATCATTATTTTTGGCGACCAAATATTATTGGTCGCAGAAGGTTATATTTTGGCGACCAAAAAATGAATTGGTCACAAAAAGTTGTATGCTTTTGCCGACCAACTACAAATTTGGTCGCGGAAGGTCACATATTTTTTGGAGACCAAAAATTTGGTCGCCAAAAACTTATTTTCAGCAACCAAAAAAAATTAGTCGCCAAATTAGTACTTTTAGCGACTAATATTTTAGTCGCCGTTGATTAAGATTTGGCGACTAAAAACATTTGTCGGTGAAGGTACCTTTTCTGCGACTAATATTGTCTTTTGGTCGCCAAAATTTTGAGCGCCAAACACCATAATATGAAAAAAAAAAACAAAACAAAACAAAAGCCCCTTTACACAATGGATCTCTGGTTCTCAGTTTATTTTGGAGAGAAAAGAGCGAAACGAAGGAGAAAGAAAGAGGAGGGGGTTCGATCTATATATGCAATTGACGCGAAGCTCATTGATTGTTCTTCGGAGTAGATTGATTATTATTGTTGAAGATCGCACATCACCGATTTGGCATAAGATCGAAATCGAATTGACTTTCTTATTATGAGGTTTGACAAGCTGCGTTGCTCTTCCAATCTCAGCCGCTTCATCGCTGGCCTTCTCGTCTTCATTCTTTATTATTCCTTTCAATTAATCTCCAATTTTTTGATTCCTATACATCCCTAATTCTTCATCTTCTTCTTGTTCTTCTTCATCATCAAACCTTTGCTTTGCTTACATTCCTTTTTTTCCTTTTTCCTTTGTGGATCTCAAAGATTCAATCTCCAATAACTTTCTCGACTGAAGAGATGAAGGGAGCAAAACCGAGAAGAGATGGAGAAGAGAGAGGGTTCGAATGAGCAAAACCGCAGGAGAAGGGTTTCAATCTCTCTTGATATTGCATTCTCCACCCAATGTTTTCTTTGAATTCGAAGGTTTGTATTCCGACTTTGATTAATTAGATGTTTTGGTGTTTTTGTGAAGTGAAGGTGCACTCTCTGCTTAATGTTTTGATGTTCATTTTTGGGATTCTTTGTTGAAATGAATGATATGAGTTTTCTAAGGTTTCACATTAGGGCTATGGTTCTCAGATCTTTCGCAGCATTTTTATTTTCTGATACTTGTTTGAGTTTGAGATTTCTTGATGCTTTGGGATGATTAGTTGTTTTTGAATGGGACACTTGTGTGCCTCATTTTTTCTATGGGGTTTATCATTATGTTGGCATTTTGTAAATGATTTGTTGGGTATATGGGGTAAAGATTTAATCTGGAGAGTTTCTGGGTTGAGGAGTTGTGATTTTTAAATTTAGGTTTTAAATGGCCATTTCTCTGTAAATTTTTGACTGTTGGTATATTTGGGACTGTGTAAAGTTTAGGTTTTTCAATTTTTGTTTGTGTCCATGTATCGATGAGAAATGGAACCCTTATCTAACCTATTCTTAGCAATAAAGTCTCGCATCATGTTGCATGAGACATCCAACCACATGATTGGCTTGCACTTTCAAGTTTCAATAGTTTTTATTTTCTCCTTATGACCTTCATGGGTTTTGAGATGGCCTGAACCATTGAGCTGTGTCTAATTTTCCAAAAGCAATAGACTAATGGAAATTGCTTATGGCTAATTGAGATTGAAGAAAAATGGCACTTTTAGTTTTGTAGAATAAGAAATGCAGGAAATCAGAAAATGGGATTTCATTATTTAATAAAAAAATTAGGTATTAAATCTTGTAAAAAAAATTATTTGTAAATTTTGATTTTAGTTTTTTTTTTTTTTTGGTTCTAGGTGTAATTAGATAATGATGATTGAAGGCCATTGGGCCCAATGGATCTTCATAAGGTAATATCAATTAATCGCCAATAATATCAAACTAATTTTTTCATTTTTTAGTGACTTTTGTGATGTTGAATTTCTATATTGCTTCTTTGTATCATTTTTCTGATCGCAATCAAAATGGAACAGAATATAAGTACTTATTTCGTTTGGTTTGTTCTTTTTTCTCATTTGACAATGCCATTGCCTAATAAAAAGAGCAATTAGTAGAATATGTAGAGAGAAAAAAAAAAGTGCAATGATGTGAGTAATTTTTAAAATTTTTTGGATACATAACAGTGAATTACTCATTTTGGCTGGTTTAATACATTTAACTAGAAGGAGATGGGATACATTGCGTCTTAGGTGGGGTTTCTTCAAGCATTGTTTGGACTTATACTTGCATTTCTTTTCTTGCATCTTGATCTGATAGTGGTGTTTGTTGTGAGTTTTACACCAGTTTTCTATGCATTCAGGTAATATTAATTAAGCTCAATTGTATTGTTGCAGCTTGGGGACTACTCAACTACTGGTTTGTTCATTTTAGATTGGAACATCATACAAGAACTACTTGTTTTTCTATACTCTAAATTGAGAATTTTTAGTCTATTTGAATTTTAGGGCATTCTTTGGGAAAAGTCTGATGTAACAAGGGAAAGCTACAAATTACAAGAATTATCAGAACATCACCTTATGAGGCGAACTACAAGATAAAGTTGTGGCTTACTTTCTCTGTTAAGAGTTAATGAATTGGAGATTATTTTTCTTGAAGGGTGATTATGTTGATTATATTGTCTTTTATTTATACAGGAATGCAAACAAATGGAAAGGGGTAGTACTATGAGTTATTCCAAAATACCAGATTGGGGAATCCCATAATTCTCGATTTTCAGGTTTGTGCTGTGTTGCATGGTATATTTTGCTTCTATTAATTATAATTTATATAAAGGAAACAAGGTGTTTATATGAGCTTAGTTTGTTTTCCTTATTTGATGAAAACCAATATACTCATAGATGGACATTCCTCATAGTTCACATAGTTAGTTTTGTTTTTTTGTTTAATTAATGACTTTTGTGTGTCTGTATCTATATCATTGATTTTTTTATTTTTTGGGTGCAATGTATCATTGATTTCATGTGATAAGATCAGTTCTTTTTTGACATGTATATATATATATATTGTAATTCAGATTCTCTCATCAGGCCCAATCTTATGATTATATTGTCAGTGTTGGTTTGGAGAAAAAAAAAGGATTTTGGTTCTTTACTTTGTTTTGATAATCTTTCAATCTACTTATGATTTATGTCATTCCTTTTAGGCATCTTGGAATTTATTCTTGGTGGTGGAAAATGTATTTATACCCAGAATTGGAACAATTTGAGATCAAAGCTTAAAAAGCAAGTACTAACTTATTCAAATGTATGCTTCATCTTATGTTTTGATATTGCTATGCCTTGCTTCAGGGCAGCCCATTTGTTATTCTCCCTAAAACTTTTCTCTCTCTTTTCCTCTAAAAGCTGGAGTTCTATCTTTCCCTCTTAATGCTTAGATGGAGTTCATTATACTATTGTGCCAAAATATAATGCAAGAGATACTTGTTTCGAAAATATTTTACATTGCTCTGATATTGCTTCATCTAGTCGGATTACACATTGAGAGGTGAGTATAATTTTTTAGTATCTTCATCTTTTTTAGTGTTTTGAATGTAAAATATTTTTTTTTCTTGATGTGCTTTAAGGGCCTCCAGTTGCGGGAGCTTTACTATTCTTTTAATTCTTTGTTCTCAATGAATTGAATGTAAAGTATTTCTACCTAGCTTTGCTAATCTTGAAGTGCACCCTTATTGTGATTTCCTGTATTAAATATCTAAATGTCTCATGGGTGAAAACCAGGTAAAGAGCATTGTTGAGAGATAAAACAGATAATCACACAACTTGCTCTGTAAGTATGTTTTTCATAATTTAATTTTCAAATCACTAAAAGCACTTAAATTTTTTTTTTTTTGAAACAAACTACTGTTGTTGTGTTGCTCTTGAGTTGGATGTTGCTTGTGTTGAGTCTTTTCCTTGGGTTTGACCTTGCAGTTTGCTGCCTTGCTTCACCTTGATTGTTGAAAGTTGAACTGGTTTGGTCCCAATCATCTGTGGGTTATGGTTTGGTCCCAAGATTTTCATTTGTTATTAAAAATAATTAAAATGCAGCATGTTCCTAATACAGATTTGCATCTATGCATCCAACCAATTCAACTTGCTTTGTTTTGTACCTAAGAAACAAAATCTAGGACAAAAAAACACAACCATAAATGATTAATATTATATATATAAGATTAAAATCTGATGATAGTTGCAGCTGTTGCTTGTATAATGCTCATACTTCAAGGTCGTTTGCCTATTTGTCCTTGTTCTTTTTTCTCATTTGACAATGCCATTGCCTAATAAAAAGAGCAATTAGTAGAATATGTAGAGAGAAAAAAAAAGTTCAAATTTCTACCCAAATCTATGAACCAAACACAGCCTAAGTGTTTCCTTAATTGCGCATCTTTTAAGAAAGCTAGAATTTAAAGTGGGAAACATGTTTATGTAATACTCCTAGTGTGATAACCATGTTCCGTATTATGCTAATTGGTCCTTATTATAAATGTGATTATGTGTTTGATATGATTTTGTGTGTCATTTATGTGAAAATATGTGGTTTTGAATTTCTATCTGTTCACCGTAGGAAAA